ATCCCAGACGTATTATTATTGTGTAAATAAAATAGAATTGTCTACGAGAATGTCTACGCGCAAAAATTGAATCTAAAACAGTGCACTGCTTTACGACGGGTAAAACTATGTATACAATGAGATAAGATCACGACTGACGTTATCGTTGTCGCCTGCCCATAGCTTTGGCTGTTCATATGGACGCACCAGAGTATTTACGTAGTTATTTTTAGTATTCTTCAAATTTTGATAGTGTACATACCTTATTAGAATAATCGTCGATGTTTAATTTCAACTCGAATAGAACTAATTCGGATAACCGATTACCGAATCATTTTTCTTTTGGATTCTCGTCATACAACACACCATGGCGATGCGCCGTAAACATTGCTGTTAAACGTTTCTATTGATCTGAATTCCGTAAGTATATTTACTACCATTTTTTATTTAATAGTTTTAGAGTTATATTATTTATAAAATATCATAGCTCATTTATTTTATACCAGTTTATATGTTGGACAGTTAATGTAATTATGTACCTGCATAGTCTCTATATTATAGATATCAGTGGTGTTTATTCAGTGTGCAAGTTATGCATTAACGCCCAACTTTAATTATACATATTATCATTTATGAATCCTATTTATTTTAATCTTTTATTTTATTTATTTATTTTATTTTGATATGTATAATATTATGTAGCACATCTTGTAATTATTGTAATTTTTCGTGTAAGAAAATTAATGTCACAAAAAAATTACTTTTATAAAATGTCTTCATTTATCTTATTCATCAATATACAATTTAAGTGGCATTTAGGTTGATTTTAAACATTTTAAATAGATATTTCCTAAATAAAATTTTTAGTTATAACAGCTCCAAAATATCTATAAACACGGGCGAATTCTCACTTATGCACAATATGTTTATTTTTAGAATTAATACACAAAAATTAAATACCGAAAATGAAACGAGTTCAAAGACAATTGGACATCACTGCATTTACACAAATAAAAAAAAGATAAGACAAACAATCCAAATTCTGAATTTCAACCAGTTGAACCTACTAATATTAATTATTCGAATAAAGATGTTTCTATTGAACAAGCTTACTTAGAAGAACTTCCCTCAGTTAGCAAAAATAGTACTGATATTCACAACCTTACTTCAATGCATAGCAATTATACTCCTTCTGTTTCTACCATGTCCAATAATTTTACTAAAACACCCATAGTTGGAGTAAATGATATTGGTAATTATGTCCATAATTTAGAAATTAACGATTTAAAAAAAGAGGAACTCTTAAAAACTCCGTGGGTTCCTTCTTCAACATATATTTTCCCTGTAAAAACCAAAAGAAATTTACGATTTCAATTATCTTGGATAAAACGATTTCCATGGCTTAGTTATTCACAATTATTTGAAGGAGCATTTTGTAGACTATGTGTTTTGTTTGCTCGAGAAAAAGGAGGTAATGGTAGTCATCAAAAATTAGGTGCACTTGTTTCTAAAGAGTATACTAATTGGAAAAAATGCTTTGCAAGACTTTCAATTACATGCTACCACATCTTATCACAAATTGTGTGTCGAGAAATCTGATAGTTTTTTAAAAGTGAATGAAGGAATATCTAAAAATATAACTGAACAACTCAGTATTGAACGTTCTAGACAGATTGAACAAAATAGAAAAATTTTACTTTCTATTATAAAAACCATAATTCTTTGTAGTAGGCAAGAAATTGCTTTTCGTGGATCAAACGATTATGGAAATGTAATGAACATAAATGATTTTAATGACGGAAATTTTAGAGCTCTTTTACGGTTTCGTGTAGATTCAGGTGACACTACGCTAGGAGAACATTTGAAAAATGGTCCAAGAAATTCTTTATATACTAGTCCTGGTATTCAAAATGACATAATTTCTATTTGTGGTGAAATAATCAAGTCAAAAATTGTCCAAAGAGTAAATGCTGCCGAGTGCTTTTCTGTGTTAGCGGACGAAACTACAGATATTGGAAGAATTGAACAAATGTCTGTATGTTTGCGTTATTATGACCAAAAAGATAAAAAAATCCGAGAAGATTTTTTAGAATTTACACCGGCTGTTGATCTTAGTGGAAAAGGACTAGCAACTTTGATAATGGGGTGTTTACAGAAGAACAGTATACATTGTCAATTTTTAGTTGGACAAGGTTACGATGGAGCCTCTGCCATGAGTGGATATTTACATGGTGCTCAAGAATACATAAAAAAAGATTTTCCCATGGCACTTTATGTACATTGCAGTGCTCACTCGCTCAATCTAGCGTTGGCCAACGCCTGTTCATTGCCCTCAATAAGAAACTGTATTAGCACCATTCAAACTGTTGGAACATTTTTTCGCTCATCGGCTCAAAGAAGTGAATTATTGAGAACAACTATTATCGAAACTCTTTCAGAGACAAGGCATACCACATTAGTTGCATTATGTGAAACTCGTTGGGTTTATAAGCATGAAAGTGTCATGCGGTTCAAAGAACTATATCCCGCTATTATTGTTGCATTGGAAAAATTGGAGTCATCAATAAATAAAGAAACTGCTCAAAAGTCTTGTCAGTTATTAAGTACAATTAAAGACGCTAAATTTGTTATACCTCTCGTAATAATTGAAAATATTTTTTCGTATACATTGACATTGTGTAAACAGCTACAGACAATTAATGCTGATTTAGTCGAAGCATGCAATCATGTTGATGATGTGTTAGCCGTATTAGACGAAATGAGAGAAAATAACAAACAACATTTTTCAGACCTGTTTTCTGTTGTTGCCATCATGTTGAATAAAAATAAAGAAGACATTGTTTTGCCTCGTATCGCTAATAAACAAACACACCGTAGTAATGTGCCCTCTCATAGCTCTGAAGAGTATTACAATTTTAATATTTTTTTGCCATTTCTCGACTATATCAGATCACAGCTTTGTGATAGATTTCAGAAACACAAATCTTTAATAAGTTCATTACAACAAATCATTCCAAGTAAATGTATAATCGCTACCAATGAAGAAATAAACGACTGTGTAAACTTTTATTCTCAGATATTGATTGAGCCTAATGCTTTCAAAGCTGAATTTGCAATATGGAAGACAAAGTGGCTAAAAGAAGGATCTCGCCCAAAAACAGCAATTGCAGGACTTGACAATTGTAACCCTCTTTTATTTCCTAACATAAGGAAACTTCTACAAGTCTTAGTTACTATGCCTATGTCAACAGCGACACCAGAAAGAACATTTTCATCTTTAAAAAGATTGAAAACGTATCTCAGAAATTCGACTAGTGAAACACGCCTCAATGGATTGGCTTTAATGTCAGTTCACCGGGACATCAATGTTGATCCAGAAGAGGTACTTACTCAGTTTTCAAAATCATCTAGAAAAATAATGTTACTTTAAAATTAATAATCCTATAAATTGTCAAATTAAAAAATGTAAGTTACATGTTTTAATAATTATTAAATATACTTACTCTAATTATAATTATATAACTATAAAAATATTTACATGTAAAATGTGGTTGTCAATTGAAATACCTTACGAGTAGTAAGTATTAAAGCAGAATGTATATTATATAATATGGTGAATAATATAAGTACATTTTTAAACCTAAAAACTAATATGGTTTGAATTGGTTAAAATTCTAAAAATCATGTTCTAGTTTCATCTTAAATTGAAAACCCCCCCCAAAAATAATGGCTGGATACGGCCATGAGTAATCTATAAAAGGCTTTATTAATATTATTAATATTTATTAAATAAAAATCAGCTTGTTTTATTTTATTTTTATTAGTGTTTATCTTTATTTTGTACTTAGTAGGTACGTAATATTTACTAGTATTTAGTATTTATTGTTTTTGCTCAATGTGCAAGTGCAAATTTTTTATTTTGATTCTTAGATGTATTTTATATTTTTATTTTATTTAATATTTTACAATTATATGTTAATTTTCTGAGTTCTGGATTATTTTTATTATTTACTCTAGAAATCTGAAATAGTGTTTCACTTTAATCTGTAAGACTTAAGTCTATACTTTTTGGTTTTTAATCTTAACCAATGCACTTTTAAAATTTAAATATTAAGGATAATTCATTTTAATTTTTAACTTTGAAGTGCATTTCTATATTGCGCGTTACTCTTATAACATAAAAGTTAAAAGTTATGAGTTATAAGTTATAAGAATATATTATATATATAAAAATTATCAAAAACGATATTGAAAAATAATGTTTTTAAAAACGTTAAACAAAAACAATATTTTTTTAAATCAATAAACAAAAACGAAAACGAAAAAATTGAAAACGTTTTTCATCCCTGTTATTTTTTTAATTATTATTACAATATACCCATATGCTGCAGTATGGTATAGTATATCTTTATATATATATATGATACTCCGATATATTATAATATATAACTATTGGCTAAAACATAGTCATATTATGGCTATTGATAAATGTAAATAATTAAGTTATTTTCTTGAGGAATTCTAGTTAAATTTAACTATATTTCTAATTTCCTAATCTAGGAAATGGCTATGCAACATCAATTATAATTTTATAATTTAATTATTAAAAAATAGCTTAACTTGAATTTAATTATAAGTAACTAGTTATTTATTAAGTTTATATCAATTAAAATAAGTTAAAGAGTTAAAATTAACTTGGTATTTAACTTAACTTTAACTTTTTAATTTATTTATGCCCAGGCTTGTTAAAATGTATAAATTATATTCTTATACTATCGTGTGACATGATAACATTTATGATGTTCTTTGTACCTGTACATTTATTTTTAATCACATAGTATCCATTGATTACATCTTATTAAAACAGTAAATAACATATTCAAGCCATGTCTATAATGATCATCAGTATATAATTAATCATAACTAATCACAAGGAAGTATAAAAAAAAAAAAGAATTGTTTCTTTAACTAAATATTTTATTTAGTATAATATAACACAGTTAATATGAAGATATGTATATAGACTGAATATATATATATATATATATTCAGTCTTTATTTTAAAATATTTTTGTCGTTTAAAAATAATGCTTTCATTACATCGTTTAATCTCTCAATTGCTATCTGAGCATGTAATTTGGTGGTTTCATCCTTACTGCACTGATATTGGTGTTTCAATATATGATAAATATCTTTTATACTGCCTTCACAAATCTGTAAGTATGAAAAATATTTAGTCAATGTCTGATATTTCTTCAAAGTATGTGAATTTTTATGATGGAATTATAAAGAAAAAGGAAAAAAGAAAAAGATTGGAAATAATTTTACTTCAAAATTACATTCTGTTAAGTTGTTGATTCTATATAATTTAAAATAAATCTATTTATTTAATTTTAACAGTTTATAATATTATTTACTTCAAGTAGTTCTAAGCTACACCCTTCAATGATCATCTGAAATAATAAAACAGCCGCTCTACGGGGTTCAACTGCTAGATCAAAATTTAATACATAATCCACACATTTAACAATTTCAGCGACAATTGATCCTAATTTGTAACGTAACAATCGACAAACGTCAGCTAAATTAGATAGACTTGACGCTCTGAGTAAATGATCTTCATCCCTGACACCAGCCATAAAAGTGTTTATTAACCGGTTTTTATGCCAAGGTATAGTTTCATCTAATGAACAAAACATAATTTTTTTAATATTTTAAGAAAATTTTCATTTATTCTTCACTATTCATACATACTTAAAAATTTTACTGTTTTCATTAAAACTTCACCAATTTTTAATCTGGTTTCAGATGAATGGTGGCAAATTGTTGGATTGACATACACTTCACAAAGTATCGGCATTATATCATCTGGGTAATATGAACACAATGATGACAATGTGAATATAGCACTTAAATATATATATGAATCAACATTTTTCAAATTTTCCTAAATGTAATATTATATTGTATAATTTTAATATATTTCAGCTTACTAGTTTTGCAAGATTATTAACATTACTTTTTTATAATAAACAATATATACCTGAATTACAATTAAAATGATTGATTTCTTAGCAAGAACCGTCTCATCACCAGATTCTATCATTTTTTTTAATTCCATCAATGCATGAGCTCTACAAGGCAATAATGGGTCCCTAGTGTCGTTCAATACATCATCAATTGTACGTTGATCACTAATTGGCTCTTTTATACAAGAATTTTTAATCCTTTTAATTTTTTGGCAAATTTCCAGCAACATATCTTTAAGAACTGTATCATCAATGTTTTCGGAAAGTTTTGGTAAATAATCTGAGAAGAAGTCTAGCTGATAGATAAATGTTTGATCAATATTTTCTAAAACACTACCAAGGACCATTATTATGATGGTTAAAAATTCGAAATCAACTGAGTTATCTTCATGAATATTTTGTAATAATGACTTGATCAAATTTAAAACATTTTCAGGATCTTTTGATATTGAATTCTGTACATCATTTTTTTCAATCAAGTGAATAATAGCTTTAATAATAAACAATTTTTCCATAATGGTATATTCATCTGATGCTGTATCTATGTACATGTCTAATAAAGTAACAAACATAAATTTCATTGATTTTAAATCAAAACGTCTGTCAATCAAATCTATAACAACATTTACTTGGCTTTCTAAATTTAATTGATGTTCATTATGAGTACATTTGATACTAATATTTCCATCATCATCATAGATAGCATCAATTAAGTACCTTGAAAATATTATTAGTTTTAAATGATCTTTACTATCTGAAAAATTAGTCAATATTAAGAAGACTAAGTCTTCTAATTTAGATTTTAAATGATATACACCAGAAGCGGTAGCTGTATATAAATTATAAATAGTTGGAGCAACATTTACTAATAATTTTGGGTTTAAAGACCACATGGCATCTCTGAATTGGTAAAAAAGTGTATATAAATCTTCAATAGATGTTGACAGTTCTGCAAATATTTCAGTCATTTGAAGTCTACTTCTTTTTATTAATTGTTCTATTGGATTTAAATAATATTCTAAAAAATCGTTATAATTTTCTGAGAACATAAGATGAACACAGAAAACACCGATGCTACGAAATTTATATTGATGAACTTTTGCATTGGATCTTAACAAATTCCATATCTAAAACATATTAAAAAAATTTAGGATACACAAATTTAAAAAAAATTTATAAAATAATGAATAACTTAATAATTATGTTTAACAATATGCCATTTAAATTAAATAAAAACTAAAATTTAACAAAAATTATTTTATGCATAATTAATGTATGTTTTATCAAAAGAATATTTGACATTTTATAGTATGAGTTAAAGTTAATTTTAATAAACAATGTTTACAAGTAAATTTGGATGGCCATTATATATTAAAAAATTTGTTTAATACGTTTTTAATAATGGTCAGTATCAAAAATTGGATAAATAGTTGCTTGAATATTATTTTAAAATTTATATTTAAAATAAGAAAATTTCCAATAGTAATTTAGGACTTTTATTACACAAAAGCAAAGGTTTTTATACATATATTAACATTTTATCATAGTTAACATAAATATAGTAATTAATTTTAACATTTAATTAATAGTGAAATAAGAAAAGCTATGTTATCATTTATTATTACCTGAGGAACAATATATTTTTTATACTTTAAATTGGATTTAGTATAATAACTATGAATTAAATTTGACCATTCATGAAGACCTATGCCGTCTAAATTTTGAGATGTTTCTGCAACATGATCACAAGCAATTCTCAAAAATGTTTGAATTCCATCATCATGTATCAATAAATCAGAAAACAGTTCTTCAAGACCAAGTTTCAAATGTTTTTGAATTTTCTAAAAATAATTTGATTTCCATATTAAATTTAAATCTTGAAATAATGAAAAAAAATGTTTAATATTAAATACCTTAAGACCAATTACAAATATAACTTCTCGAATAAAAAAAGGATCTTTATCCAATAAAATTTTTTCTATGAGAATATTCTTAAATGTATTCTGTTCTTTTATCAACTGTTCGTATTTCAATTCATCTATAGCACTTTCTTTAGCAATTTTTGTACCTGGTTTTGCAATGGGTAACAAACATAACTGACATAATCCTGCTAGTAAAACATCAGAGTGTTCCACAATAATCAATTTCTTAAATGTTGGATCTTTCATTAATGCAAACAATGAATTCACATTAAATTTTAATTCTTTATATTTCTGAAATAGATAAATTAATAGTTAAAATATTTTTTAGGATTTAAAACTCTTTACTTCAATGATTATAATATACTTATACTAAAAGAAGCATAGACCTTATACTAATTGATGGAGCATCACTGGTTGGCAGGGTTGGGTGGTGCGGTCACGACTATTCTCATAGCAGTGTTGTTATTTCTGACGACATAAAATATGTTTATTCTCATATTTATACAGTATATTATTATTAAAACATTTAAAAATCAGTTTGCCTAATTAATAATCCCGTAAACTTAGTACCTAAAAAAATAACCCTATAATAAAAAAGATTGTGTTTCTACCTAATTATAAATGTATAATATAATGATAAAATAATTTTTAAAACGCAACAAGCAATCCCTGAATCTGAAATTTTATTGCGCGTGTGCGTAGTAATTGAGTAATAGTAGAATAGCACATTCACGTCTGACCGCTAGAATTTAGCCCATGCTCCGTATATTAGTATAAGATCTATGAAAAAAAATTAATAAAATAAAAAAATACTCTAAATCATAGAATTGCAGACCAAAAAATGATTTATAAAACTATTACAATTGAATAGTAAATATATTTAAAATGAAAGAAATTTAAATCATATTATACTATATTAAAATAAATATACTCATAGATAAAATTCCATATTTTACTTCTATATTAAATATATTTCCCTTTATAGATAAATGATAGTATACAATTTTATTCATTACCGTATTTGGGGAAATTTCTTCAGTAAATTCAATAATCCGTTTATTTTTATAATTAAATGATTTCCATACACTTGGAATAAGACATGGAATCAATCCAAAAGATATTACAGAATTTATGCATTTTGATACAGTAGCACATTGACTGACACTTAAAATTTCACCAATGTGATCATTAGGATGCAATAACAGACAGTCTTTTAACCGAGTCAATAATTCAATTGTTTTCATAACATAAGAAAATCTGAAAATCAAAATACTATATTAACATGTAAGCAATTAAAATAAATATCTATATTACCTAGTACTTTGATTGGCATATTCATTAGAATATCCCAAAGACTGATCAAGTTCTAAAACACATTTTAAGTTATTTTCAAACGACGCATCACCTAAAAGTATTTATAGATTAAAAATAAAATAAACATGAAACATTTTATTTTATAATAAAAAAAATGTCTAGTAATTTATGTTATACTTAAACTAAAAATGACTAAAAATATTATATCAAATGAATATTGTATGTATATATATTTATAGTAAATATAAGCATTATTTTTGTATCAGATATCTTTCGAAATCATTAATACTTAGATGTAAATTGGAATAATTCCATGATATAAAATTAGTATATATTAAATAACTAATGTTAAGTATTCATTCGAAAAATCCATTTTAAATAGTTTTAATAAAACCAAAAGTTATTCACACTGAATAGTTTTTTATTTTATACTACCACCACTGATTTGAATTGTCCTAAACACAAACATATGGTACAGATGGCTATTTATTTACATTAGCAGTACTTAAAAGTGGTTGAGCTTAGCATTTTTAATAATGATGGAATTAAATAAAATAAGGACCTTAAAACAGTTACAAATTTAAAAGAGAATAAATTACTAAAAATTGATGAAATATGCACTTACATTTTACAACTAAGGGTCTTATGATATTTTACAAATAAAATATATAAAATATATTTTAAAGCATTTTTACTCAAGCCTACAAAGATTAGTAGGATTAGATTATATCTAACAATAGGACAATATTGATCTAACATAGCTCACCAGGGTCAATGATCGAAGTGATTTTTGACATCAAATTGATAATATTTTTAATGTCATCCATTACACAAAGAACTAGTACGTCAACAGACAAACGGTAAGAAAAATTGGTATGAAATAAAATATCTGTAACGGAAGCAAATCAAATAACCAAATTGTGTTCAATACTATTGCTTTGCATATACTTTGATCTCTTAATTGTAAAATGTAAGAAAAAATAATAAAAATAAAAATGTAAGCCACTCCAACATTAAATGTATTTTAGTTGTCTCATTTTTGTAACGACGGGACAACTAATTGATAACAACTGATAATACGGACTCTGAAATATTGTTAAATCTTTGTCATGGAGACGCTTATCATTTGAGTCGTTTAGTCGTACGGTCGTTTGGTTCAACTGGCACACCAGTATTTTGAAAAGATTCCGTTGGCCATTTTGTGCATTTACTTCATTGAGTCTGTGTAGGCTTGGGATTTATTCCGATTTGTCATTGTCATTATATACATTTTTTTTTTTCATGCAAACATTCCAAACTATGCAATATTGTGTATTTTTTGTTTAATAGTACAATAAAATAATGGTGAGCCAGCGCAGCGCAGCGCATGTGGTATACGGATAAGCATTCTAATAACGTTTTGTTGTTGTCGTAGGTTTCGTTGAATCCGTTTCGCATTTTGAAACACGAGGCGGAAGAAGACATAGGAGAAAATGCGCGTATGTCCAATTTTATAGGTGCAATTGCCATCGGCGACTTGGTCAAAAGTACCATGGGCCCAAAAGGCATGGACAAAATACTCATATCGATGGGCCGCGGTCCAATGGATTCAAAAATCGAAGTGACTAATGACGGAGCGACTATTTTGAAGAATATTGGCGTGGACAATCCGGCCGCTAAGATATTGGTTGACATGTCCAAAGTTCAGGACGATGAGGTTGGTGACGGTACTACATCTGTCACAGTTTTAGGTGAGAATATATATATTTGGCTCTTTGATTTATGTAATTTGTGGATATATTTTGAGTATTTCCTTCTGTGACTTATGCCTACAAACATTTCAATAGTTGAGTATTTTACCTATTTGAAAATTGTTACTGTTTAATATACTGCCTATCATAAGTACTTATTATGATTTAATAAGTTAAATAATAATAACATAAAATCTCTTAGTTTATTTAATTCACACTATTCTATCAAAATAATTTTTAGGTAACTATCAACATAAAATGTTTGTAGCTTAATTAATGTAATTGGTTTTTATATTGGATCATACTAAAACCACTTTTGAGTTTTGATATTCATTGATTGTTAATGATTTAAGTCGGCACTCATGTCCAGGCCTGTGACTAGATCAGATAAAGATTATTTATTGTCAATCTGTCGTTCTTATTCATCTTCAGGTACTCTATATTGTACATTAATATAAGTTAAATAGTTGTATTAACAATAATGGTCATCATGACCTTTGTTGTGTTACTAAGTTTTACAATAATTTATCAGCTATTTTAATACACTTTATTGTCATCGATTGGTAAGTTTTTAAAATAATACATATATGTATTTACAATTTTGTATCTAGAATCTATTGCATATATTAAGCTATCTAAAACACAAGGTGTTTTATTTAACATAGTTCTTAGGTATTAATTATTCTGAAGATTGCACTAATCAAGTTACTATTAATATTACATTTAATAAAATGCTTACATTTTTTCAATAGTATTAATCTAATTTTTGCAATATTAAAATTAGTTGATGACTTACACAGTTTTGCTAATAAAAAAAAAAAAGAAAATGCCTCATGTATTCATACATTAATTTATACCTACATATGAATAAGTAGAAAATTATTTAAATAATATTTTTTTTTAAACTTTTTATACTAAACACAATGTTCATTGCATTTCAAAATAATTATGACATGATATATTGTTATCACTATTTTTTTTTTTTTTTGAAACTTTTTTGAATAACTATGATAATTAAATATCTTACAGTTAATAAATTACTTGATAATTAATGCAAATTCAAATATAAATAGTTTTTTAGACTCTAAAGATTAATATATTTTAATTATTTATATTTACTCAATTTAATAAAGTTGTAACTAACTATTATGGTATTTGAGCTTAAGATTTATTATAAATAATAATATTTTTTAAATATTTAACATTTATGTTTATAATCTGTTGAATAATTTAGCTGCTGAATTATTACGTGAAGCTGAAAAATTAGTTAATGAGAAAATTCATCCACAGATAATTATTTCTGGGTGGAGGAAAGCAACAAAAATAGCACATGATGCACTTCAACTTGCTTCATTAAATCATAGTCAAAATGAAACTCAATTCCGTGAAGACTTACTAAATATTGCTCGTACTACTTTGAGTTCTAAAATTTTGTCTCAACATAAAGAACATTTTGCTAAGCTGTCTGTAGATGCCATTTTACGTCTCAAAGGATCTGGAAATTTGTCAGCTATACAAATTTTAAAGTTAAAAGGTGGTTGTTTGGAAGATTCATTTTTGGATGAAGGTAAACAATAAATATTATGTACATTTTTAATTTAACTTAATTTTTATTAGGTATTCTTAATTAATTTTTATGTTTTTATAGGTTTTCTGCTTGATAAAAAGATTGGTCAATATCAACCAAAACGTGTAGAAAATGCTCGAATATTAATTGCTAATACACCAATGGATACAGACAAAATTAAAATATTTGGATCTCGTATCAAAGTTGACTCCATGGCTAAAGTTGCAGAACTAGAATTAGCTGAAAAAGAAAAAATGAAAGATAAAGTTAACCATATACTAGCCCATGAATGCAATGTATTCATAAATAGGTAATTTGAAAATATTATAATTCCTAATCTTGAATAATTTTTAAATAACTATAACTTAAGACCTACTAAGAAATTTTAAAGTTATCAAAAATCTTAATTCGAATCAAACAAGAACTATCTTTAACTATAATAATACTAATTTAAAATTTTTTTGGACATATGTACAATTGTATGAATATTTTTACTGTTTATTATTAATTTAAAAAATAAAAATAAATATTTTAAATTATTGATTTATTTCTATAAATTTTTATGATTTCTGAAAACTTATTTTACTATTTCAGACAACTGATCTACAACTATCCTGAACAACTTTTTGCTGATGCTGGTATAATGGCTATTGAGCATGCTGATTTTGATGGAATTGAACGTTTAGCTTTGGTCACTGGTGGTGAAATTATGTCGACTTTTGACTCAGCTGCTAAAGTCAAGCTAGGTACATGTAAACTTATTGAAGAAATTATGATTGGTGAAAACACATTGTTACGTTTCTCTGGTGTGGCACTTGGTGAAGCCTGTACTATTGTTATTCGCGGTGCCACTGAACAGATTATTGACGAAGCTGATCGTTCCATACATGATGCCTTATGTGTATTATCCTCTACTATACGTGAGCCTTTCATTGTCTATGGTGGTGGGTGTAGTGAAATGTTAATGGCTAATGCTGTTAGTGCTGAAGCAACAATAACACCTGGTAAAGAAGCTGTGGCCATGGAAGCTTTTTCTAAAGCTTTACAATCACTTCCTACTACTATTGCTGACAATGCTGGGTTGGATTCAGCAGATTTGATACATGAATTAAGAGCATGCCATGCTCTTGGAGAGAATAGCATGGGTCTTGGTAAATTAACATTTAATCCATTTTGTTTAAAAAAAATTTGACATTCTATTTATTTTGATTTTAGATATAGAACATGGTACAGTGGGATGTATGAAAGCGATTGGAATCACTGAATCGTTTGTTGTCAAGAAGCAGGTTCTTATATCTGCTGTTGAAGCTGCTGAAATGATTTTGCGTGTCGACTGCATTATCAAAGCTGCACCAAGAAAACGAGTTGAAGACCATGGCCATTGTTGAATCTAATTATCCACTTAAAAAGAAAAGCTACACTTTTTTTTTTACATGTTTGACTGTTTTCAAAATCATTTTTTTATACATTTATCAATTTAATACAAAAACTAAATATTAATTTTACGGTGTTATAAAATAAAAATGTCATTATTATATTTATATAACTTGTATTTTATAAGTAGTAAATGGGAAACTAAAGCAAACTTATCACAAATATAAGAAAAACTAAAATTCTTAACTAAATTGTAGAATTAACTAAAATTAAAGTTACCCATTTTTAAAATGTAACCAAAATACAAGAAAAACTAAAATTATTTTTTACTAATTGTAGAATAAACTAAATCTTAGAAACTTAAATAAAAATATATATAAAATAAAGGTAAAAAATTGATGATAAACAACAAGGAATTAAAATTGTAACAGGTATACAAGTCATTTTTTTTAAATATTTTAATTTCATTACTTGTTTATTAAACTAAGATAGACATTAATTGATAATATTTATTTCCATCTTGATTTAAAACTATAATTTTTATATCTTCAATTTCTCTTGTACTTACAAGTACATAAAATATTTTATCTGTTTTTATAAACAAATTATTTGGATCTAACAAAAATACAAACAATAGGTCTTTTATTTCTCTGTGTAATTCTAATTATAATTCCTAATTCCTCTTTGTACATTATTAGTCAAGGAAATCGATTTTTTGATTATATTACAACACATTTCTAGTGGTATATTTCTTATTACAATTGGGTTTTCTTGAATTTTAAAACCTTTAATATAATTAATACCTAGTTAATCAGATAATATTTTTCTGATTTTATTAATATAGTATTTTCATCTTCAATTTTTAATTGTATTGATTTAGGAAAAATTTTCTTTAAAAATTTAAAAATTTTTTCAAATTTATAATTATTTTCGATTATATTAATTTTCACGTTTTCTGTAAACATTGTACTTTTAACAGAATTAAGTGTTATAACTATGTTACAAGACGTGCCAGCTTTACTAAATATTATAATAAATAAAGATTGCCACATTTGTATAATAATATAACCTTAGACTTAAATATGTTTTTGAAATGTAGTATGCTAAAACAAATGTATTATTAATAACTAAATAATGAGCTGCCCTTTTGAATCAACAATAATAATACTTTCATAATGTAATGAGTTAGAAATATATTGCCAGACTTTCGCAATATTACCCTCGGAAGAATACAAATTGTCAATTATTTAAATATTAAATCTTATGACCGGCATAATGATGGGTGCCACTATTTTCCCTTAACAGAAATGAGTAGCAATCGAGAATTATTCTCAGTTTATATTGATAGATTTAACAAAAATGATCGAATGCTTAATTTAAACGAAGCTCACTCGCTTATTTGCAAAGAAAAAGATCAGAATATTACACATAGCCATGATCCCCTAACAGATGTCATAAACACATGCTATATTTTTAATTATTTAATAAAACTTATGAAACCTAGTACAATATATAGATATTGTAATAAACTTGTAAAAAAAAAATTATTAATACTAAATCTTACAAAATAAATCATTGTTAATCGAGAAAGATACAAACATATATATATATATATATATAGATGGATATGCAATATAAGCTATACAATAACCAGAAATTAGAAATTAAGAATAATATTGTAAACATTTTATTATTATATTATAAAATATAATCTAAGACAATCAACTAAAATGTAATCATGTTCTTTATGTAATAATTAAAAAAAAAATAAATGTATGTAATTTAATCTTTGTATAAATATAATCCTTTTCTTTGGTAGAGAGGTGTTACAGGATGTGCCACCTATACCAAATATTATAATATATAAAGAGTGTTATGCTTGTACAATTATATAACCAAGGCTTGAAATCGATTTCAAATATCGATAAAAATCGTTAATGGTTAGTAATGATTTTCAAAATTTATATTGAAATTGAAAAAAGTTAAAATTGACACGTTTTCGGTGCGTGTATTTTTCTATTACCTTTGTATATTTTTAATTTATCCGACATACTTTAATCAAGGTCATTTAAACGAATATAAAACGGAGTTGCTACAAACGGTTCGTAAAAGTTTTTATTATTTGGAAACATTTGCAATCTATTCACGTAATTTCGTACACTAGGCAAATGTCTGTTATACGAAATGTCAACTTCTGTGGCTCGAAATTTATATTCTTTTAAATGAGCGGCATTAAAGCGATACGACGACCCATATCTTTTCATCATTGTGAACATGAACCAGGGCCGGCGCAAGAAGTATTGGCGCCCTTACCCCCTCACACCTAGTTTGAGTAGTAATAAAATTAGTATGTATTTTGTATCATAATTTTAAACTTTATTACCTGATCGTACAACATTGTAATAAGATTACACATATTATATTATTAACGTATAAAATTGCCGCATTCCGTAAAATAAAAAATAAAAATAAAAATAAAAATATTAATTTTAAACTTATAACTATAATTAATATTAAAACTTAACTTTTCTAGCTTTTAATTCAGAAAACTGTTGGACTCCCCTCCTCTCCGTACCATTATATTTGCCGCATCTGCGCACTAACCATCGGTAAAATGCCCCACAGGGGCGGCCACTGTACATTGCGGCAATTTTATATCAAAATCAAAATCATTTTCATAATTAAAACGATTTTAAATCAAATTCATTTAAAATTCAACAGCCAACAGGTCCGTTTATATTGTAGATTCGTAGACATTTCCATATTTGGTAATAATATTGATTATAAATAACTAGTATCTATTTTGTTTTCTTAGAATATTTACAATAATTAATCAGCGTTCGATGAACGATTATTGTTTTTATACACACGATTTATTCCGTATAATATCCAATATTTAGACATTTTGTAGTGTATAATTATGGATTTTTTCACTATTTTAAATATATCAATAAGTTGTGTAACCCTATGATGAATAAATGTGCACCTAAATTCTTAAATTTCGATTAAAAACGTTTTTGATTTTATTTTTACGGCTAAAGAGAATTAATAAAGAGTTGTAAACAGTGGCGTAGTGACGGGGAGGGTGTAAGGGGTTTCCACCCTCCCCACACAAATTTTTTTTATTGATATTTGATTATTATTTATTAATATTTACATATTATAGTAAAATATTTTGATTTTACTATGATTAGGTATATATTAAAAATTGAGTAACAAAATAATTTTCATTAAATACGGGACATAATAATAATACCATTTTAAATGTAATATTATTATATATGACCTCGTTTTAAGATATACTAAGAACACTTAAAAACTTACTCTTAAACAACCCCCCCCCAGAAAAAAATTGTATCTACGCCACTGGTTGTAAAGAGAACCAGCAAAATGCTCAGCCCTTTTATAAGGGATAAATAATTATGCTCACAGTATAGTATTAAGGACTAACGTAATGTTCATTGGTGATGTACGCTGAACTTATTAGACTATATTATTTTACAAAAGTGTTAAATATTCTAGTATTGCAAATAACTATGGCTCACTGCTATGATACAAATATCAAACATTTTTGAGACTACGGTAATACATATAAAAAAATATTAAAAATTGGAATCTTATGTAAAATTATTAGAACTTCAATTTTTTGAATAGTTCATTTTAACGTACGAATAGTAATTTTGGTTAAAGTTTAAAAAAACAAAAAAAAAAAAAATTTCAAAAAATTTTACTTACCGCTATTTCATGATCGTTTAAATACACAAAATGACATATTTATATAGACAATTTTACGGCCTTTAATTTTTGTTTTGTACTTTTTAGCTATAAATCCAAAATTAAACTAGTTATAGTATAAGATTGAAAAGAGGGTACGCACCCTTTTTTTAAGGGATAGAGAGCTATGCACAAGAGGCATGTCTGGGGACTTTTAGTGTGTTAATCAGTAAGCTAGGGCTGATTGTGTACCAAAATTCAGCTTTCGAGAAATTAGTTCCAATCTTTTTCCTAATTTGACTGGACTATTAAGTAGTTTTGCTCTTTTGGTGTGTGGCCGACTTTACTGTGGCCTGCAACTATAATGTTACACTAAAACCTTTGTGATATGGTGTATAAATAGTGATAGTAAATAAATTAGTACAAGCGGTATATATATAATATATATATATTAGGTATTATTGTACCACTAATCATCTAATCATCATCTAACGCTATTGTGTATTGAAATTTTTGATTTTGAAAACTTGAGCGATTCGAAATGTTCATTAGTACCTACGAAATATGCCATTTGATTTTTATTTCATATTAAGTGTTTTATATATTTAATAAAGAAATATATGTATTGATAACCGGATAACTTTCTACTTAAGTAACCACGAAATTACATTTTAATTAAAAATAATACGCATTGTATTTTATATAAAACTATAATTCTCATAAAAAATATAGAACGTTATTTATTTATCTGGTTATCATTTTTCAGTAACGTTTATGAAATATCACGAGTTATTATTAAGTATTTCAGTTCTACAAATGTGAGTTTGACATATATATCTACAGTAGAGTCCTGGTTCTTGATAATCCGACATAATGTGTGTCCGGTACCCTTAGTAATCCAGAAGCGTCCTTAGGGTAGGCGAATGGGGCAGTCCCTCGTGGCCTTTTTTTTTCTTCAAAATGTTGTTATTTATTATTAATGTTACACTAGGAAAATAAATAAATGTGAATACATATATGAAGTTTGTACATCCCCATATAAAAGGGTCTAGGGACGCCACTTTAGTAATCTGGCATGTGAACCCACATCCAGCTATAATTTAATTTTTGAATCGACTATAATATCTATACACGTTTTCTTGAACAAATTTTGTTGTACATTCATAGTTTATAATTTTTAGTGTTGGTATTTTTAATTTTACAGAACAATGTTTCAATTAAAATAAAAACATTTAAATGTTCACCCTGTTCAAATCGTATACTTACATGACCAGGAAAAAAACAATACACTAGTTGAGTCCTGAGTACAAACGGGTTTAGGAAACTAACAGTATACGAATTTCGTCTAAAGATTATTTTGAGTAAAATATGAAATCAACCATTTGAGTTCAGACACAGCAGAAATTATGCCACGCAGCATTAAAATATATGTTACTGTCACACTTATGCTGTTCATGAATGCGCCTTTACGTATAGATATGTAGACGTGATATCGTGCATATCAAACATAATAACTAGATTTGAATACATACTACAATGCTTATCGCAAACATTTTTTATAACCAATATAAAATATATTATTTGATCATGATCTACATTTATTTATTTATATATACAAATGATTCATATAATATTACATCCCTAGATTATTAGATTATAAAATATTAAAAAAAAAGACCATTTTTAACCATTCATGTAGAAGTCCTAAACCTGTAAAAATGGGAAGGATTTTTCATTTTTTTTTTAAATTTGACGGAACTCAGTAATAAAACATGGACTCAATTAGTATTGTACCTAGAATTTCGCGGGACTCAATACTAATTATAAATATACCAATATACTCTAAAATAATCCGTGATTGAATTAATCGTAAAAGGTTATATTGGGATTTGGTTCGTATGAAACACCGACAAAATATCGCCGGTAAAAAATATCGCAACTAAAACATCGCGAAACCATTATATCGCATGGAATAAATATCACCACTATATATATCGTCAGTATGAAATATAACAGTAATTTTATTATAAATAAATAATGTAATTTTAAGCATGTAATATTGTTTAGTAGAATTAAAATTAAATTAAGTAGAATTGATTTAAGTATTAAAAAAAAAAAAATTAATATATTATATATTAAATTCAATGAAATACCTTAAAGATAATCTTCGAACTCTCAAAAAAAAAAAAAAGGTAAAAAGTGAATACGATTAGATAAGATAAAGTTAAATGCAATATACAGACCCGATAATAATGTATGGCGGTATTATTTCTTTACGATAATATAATATTGGTTTCGCGATATTATAGTTGCAATATTTTGGTCGTGCGTTATTTTACCGTCGATATGTTGTTGAGATACCGGTTCGTATTCAGCCGTTCGAATGCTTAGTTTTTTTTCCGGCAGTACCGAATGATCCCACGTGTATCGGATTATCAAAACTCTACTGCACATATATATATATATACATACTCAGTGGCGTAGTTACGATGGGGGGGGTGTAAGGGGTTTCGACCCCCAGATTTTTTTTTTAATGATATTTGATTATTATTTATTAATATTTACATATTATAGTAAAATTATATTTTAATTTCACTATGATTAGGTATATATTAAAAGTTGAGTAACAAAATAATTTTCATTAAATATGGGACATAATAATAATACCATTTTAAATGAAGTATTATTATAAAGGACCTTGTATTAACATATACTAAGAATATTATGAATTGACTCTTAAACACCCCCCCCCCCCCCAGAAAAAAAATTGTATCTATGCCACTATACGTACCCATACGGTTTATAGAGTGTGTATACAACTTACTCTATTTTATCCGTTTGGGCGAACCGTCAGCAGTTGTTCCGTCGTTGTCGCCGAGCGATTTTTCAAATTCTACGACCTTACGATGATATGACGTGTTACGGATTTCGTTGAAGTACGGTTTTCGCAACAAACGGTTGGCTGAAAATCTCCTGGCCGGGTCATAAACGATCATGTCTTTCAGCACTTCGTATGCGGGCATGTGCGGCTGGTATACGGTGCGCAACCCGCAACCAAAATCGAAGTTTTGATCCGACCTGCTGGACTCATAGAGCCACGTGAACACGTTCGACTTGTTCTTCCTGAACTTGTTTATCAGCGAGGAGTTGGGACGGCCCAGCACCCAACCAATCCTCTCCATCTGGTCCGCCTCGTCCACTCCGCAGAACATCACGTGGCCCATGACCATTTCGTATATCACGCAGCCCATGGCCCAAATGTCCATTTTTTTCCCGTAATAGCCCCGGGTCAACATGCACTCGGGCGAACGATACCACCGGGTCGCCACGTATTGCACGTGCGGCTGTCCCTCGGAAACGTGGCACGTCGTACCGAAATCGCCAATCTTCAGCTGCTTGTCCCGCGATCGCAGCAAAATGTTCTCTGGCTTGATGTCTCTGTGCACGAAGTCGTTCTGATGCAGATACCGTAAGCCTTTGTAACATTTCATTTGCGTTTTATTATTTTTTTAATTATTACTAACATTACTATATAGGTAATGTCACCACCAAGGCCGTATCTAGAAATTTTTTTCGGGAGGGATCCAAAAAATGTATATTGTAATTTTATTGAATTAAGATTTTAACTTTTGATATTTGGTTAAAAATAAGGCAGAAAAAGATTTAATCTTCTTTTATTAAAATTAATATCATATTTTCAATTAATATTATGATACAAGATTAAAAGCAGTCAATGATTAATTGGAGCTTAAGTGATTTTTTGACTGAAAATATTTATGTTGGTATTAAAAATAAATAAGTATTTTAAACATTTGTAAAATATTGATGAAATTTCGGGGGGGGGGGGGGTCCAAACACCCTGGACCCCCCCAGATACGGCCTTGGTCACCACGACGAAAATATAATATATTAATATTATTACCTTCTAACATCTGATACGTATAGATTTTGATTCGAAATAGTGACAGAGAACATCCAGAACGTATGATGTCGAATAGCGATTTTTTCATTAGCTCCGAGACTAAGACTATCTTTCCACATTCTTTGTAAAAATAAGCTCCTACCATCATCAGCAAGAACGGATGATTTTCAACGGTTTTTGCTATTTTCACTTCGGCTATGTTATTCAGTGTGGTCACGTTTACTTTAGACGATCTAAAACCCTTTTTCAATATCTTCGCTGCCATTTCTTTTCCATTATCTCGTTTCACGCACAGCCATACATCTGAAAATGTGCCTGCACCAATTTGGGTTTTCATATCGTAATTCATTGTAAAATCAAAATAACTGAATTTACTATTCCGAGACATTATGGTGAGAAAACAAAATATATATTTAACACATAGAAAACGAAACGTGCACCTATTTATATACACTGTTCGTACAAAATATATTTACTAATTGAAAACATTGTAAAGTTTTGGTTTCTATACAAACTCAGTTCAGACAAATTATTAGATAAATTACAAAATATAAGCCAGAAATGTTAATGATTCTGTTAAATTTTCGAGACGAATACAATAAATATCTCACATATTATGTATACGAGTATAATAACGTAAGAATGTATACCTGTGGTTATCGAATATACCTTTCTTAGTAAGTAAACATTTTTATAACACATATTAACTGGATTGCACACTAGGCGATTCGAACGCACGTCTCCGTGCGTTTCGAATGTCGCGATTTCAAGACGCAAACGCGTACTCCTTACACATTAGACGCGTGTCGATGCGTTTTTCTGCGTTTTGAAATCGCACTGCGCTTTCACACTAGACGATTTGAGTACGTTTCTCAAAAATAAATAGCGCGGCAAATGATATTTGAACCATTACATTCTTTGTAATTTGTTGTATACTAAGTTAGTACTGCTGTTATATATGTTGTACAATTCGTATACTATTATATATTTATACCGTACTTCGTTGTATTTCGTTTCGTCTATTTTTTTTTTATTTTGTTTTAATATGGAAGTATGCTAAATACTTAAGTATTATACTTAAATAACAACAACTAACCAGCTGGGTAACAAGTAACAACATAGAATAACGAACTTTGTAAACTATAAGTATACGAATACGACTACTGTCGTAGACAAATTATGAATGAACGTAAATAAACGCGGGGCAATCGCAGCGTATAAATCGACCGTGTGTATTGAAACGCCGGAAATGCATTGGAAATACATTGGGAAAATAATGTTTAATTATAGCTGCAAATCGCGACCGAACGCACAAAATTAAACATGAGCGTTTCGGTGCGTTCGAACGCAACCGAACGCGCGTCTCATTTAAGCGTAGTTTACACGATGCTAGTTTACTAGCGAAACACCATACTATCTTACTATCTCACTAGCAGATAGTAAAATAATTATTTCATATACACGATATTCAAATACTAGTAGTTACTAGTAGTATAAGTACCACTAGTACCAGTAGTCAGTACCAGCCTCATGACTGGTCATCGTGAAGTACCAAAAAATTGGAAAATATCATCATTGTTCCATTTCGCTTTAAAATGACTCATTATGAATTTGTTTATGATAATATATTTAACAAGAAAATTAACAGAAACAATAAATAATTAAAACTTATTATAATATCTGAATAATGAATATTGGGTATCGTTTTTAGTGTTTTCACACACACTGCCGGGCAAATACAAGCTACTAGTACAAAATAAACAGCTAGTGCCCTATTACATGATACTATTTTTGCTCGCATCGGATAAAATAGCGCGCTAGTTTGCTAGTTAAGTTGAAATATTTCAACTTAACCCGCAAACTAGTTTACTATTAAAATAGTTTGCTAGTTTACTAGCACACTTAACAAGACAATGCTTTTTTACTATCAGATAGTGAACTAGCTTACTAGTTGCTAGTAAACTAGCTTCGTGTAAACTACGCTTTACGTGTGTGAATAAACTCATATAAAAGTACATGTTTAATTTTGAGCGATTAATCGTGACGTTCGAAACGCGCAGAGACGTGTGTTCGAATCGCCTAGTGTGTAATCCACTTAAAGCGTACATAATAATAATGTATAATACACATTATTAGTCAACATAGGTAATTTTATAATATATATATATATATATATATAATGTTTATATAATTTTTATTTCATCATACTTATTTAATTGTTTTCATTTTAATTCAAAAAATAATAACAATGTCAGTGTCAATTCAAAAAAGAATTGTAAATTGTAAATTATTTATTACCCACATCAAAATAACTAATTACTTGAATGAAATATGAAACATGGTGGGTTAGCACTTGTTTATAAATATGAACACGTATTATATAGTAGCATGTCAATTTACTGTTTGGTTATTAAACATTAATTGCCGAGTCTCCTTAACTCATAATTGGTATAATTATGTTTAATTAAATTTAATGTGTTGACTTTTGATTATCTATTAAATAATTAAAACAGATATAAATAAACAATATGTACACGTGCTGGATGATTTATCTATATATTAAATATAAAAATTGTATTATAATAATATCGGATAATTTAACTGACTAAACACTACCTAAATCGTACGGTTATGAGGTGTGGCTAATAAATAACGAGACTTTTATTGTAAATTTTTTTTTACTTAGAATTTTTATTAATTTAACATTCCGCCCCCCTTCTATATACTCTCTTCCGAATTTGACTCATCATACCATTTATATTTTCCATTGGTTGGCACGTGTTTATCGTTAATTCGATAGTCTCGTTATTTAATAGCCACACCTCGTATGGTTACTAAACAAATGCCATGTTTTATGTAATATAAATAGTTGTTATTCACGAAAATAATTATTTTTAGAAATATTAATCAATTTAATTATTCATTTATTAATTAGAATTATTGAAATTAGTTATTGTTTTAATTTTTCTTTTCTTTAGTAAATAAAATATTATTTATTACTATTAAACGTACCTATGATGTTAATACGCACGAGGGATAAACGTAATTGTACAAGTAATAATATTAACATTTGAGGATTATTAAATATTCTAAAATAAAATTAAGCATAAATAATAAATATTGAAATTCCTTTATTTTAGTCAGAATTATTACAATATAATATATTGTAATAATTCTATATATACATATACATATTATGTATACTACAAGCCAGGGACTGGAACCGTACCTAAAAGAACTGGTTTTGGAACCAGAACCCTTTGAATATTGGGAACCGGAACCTCACCTAAACCCTAATTTAAATTAATTTTAAAACCGGAACCTTTAATTGTATTTATATAAAAATCGGAACTTTGCCGGAACCGATAATTTTTTGTAAAGGTTTTTTTTACAGTTAATTTCAGTATTGTTATAATTGTATTATTTTTATTTATATCGGTCATTAATAGGTAATAAGAACTACAAAAATACGTAGATCTATTATTATTATTATCGTGATTAATAATATTTAAAAATAATCATGCAAGTACATACAGAGTGTAGAAGTGTCATTAAACTATAAAAGTATACAATAAATATTTTTAAATGTTCTATGTAACAACAGATAATAATGTAGTACTGTAATAGGAATTGCAACAAAATTAGTTATTATTTACAACATATCGGTTTTCTAATACTAACGATAAATAACGAGAAATTCTAAAATTATGTCTATAACTTTTTTGTAGGTATGTTATGATTGTGACTATCGTTATCTGATGTACACCACGCTTGAGCTGTGTTTCAAAAATTGCATTACTGAATAATGATACAACAAGTAGTAATTCATAAATCAATGTTTAAACTATATAAAAAACATGAAACGATATTTGAAACAGGGTATTCGTGACTGTGATGAGTACACTTTTACTTAATTAGTCTTAAGTCCACTTAAGTGATGGTAGGATATCTGGTTGAAAATTGATATTAACCGCTTTAATTGATGCTAATTAACACTGGTAATATTTTTAAAAAAATCGAAACAGAACCAAATTTTTCTCACATTAGTATAATACCAAACTTGAAACTAATTTTTCATTTTTTAAGAACCAAAAATAAACCGAAACCGAAATTTTAGTTTTTTTTTTTTCAACCGAAAAGTAACCGAAACCCAAATTTTAGTTAT